GGTGCCCGGTGGCCCGGGGGCCTCTTACCGGCAGGGGGCTGCCGGTAGGAGGTGGCGTAGGCCGTCTGCCCGTAGGTGGCGGTGGGCTGCGGCTGCGTGTAGCTGGCCTCGGCGGGCTGCCCGTAGCTCCCGTAGCTCTGCTGCCCGTAGGTCTGCTCCAAAAACACCAGGGAGCTCGTTGGCATGTGGAAGGGACTCGTGGGGATGGGGCTCGGAGGGTTCCCGGGGTGGGGGGTGAGGCTGTGGGAGCTGCTTCACAGCTCGGCTCAGGGCTGTGACTGAGTTATAAACGATCTCCTTCAGCTCCAGGACCTGAGGGGTGGCCTCTGAAGTTGTCACAGCCACCTCTGGGCTGCCTAAATTGGCCAGCTGCTCCTGATTCCCTAGGTGCCACCACCTGAGACATGGGGAGTGGGGATTCTCAGAGGGCAGAGCTGCACCAGCTGCAAGTCTGTTAGCCCAGCATAAAACTGCTTTAGTGGTCGCTAGACGAGACCTATTTAAGGTTTCCATGAAGTTATTAGGAATATTCTTCCTGTCCACTGAGCAATAGTTTGAAAAATTTGGAGTTTAGGTAGGCATCTAAGGATGGGATCAGCACCCTGGCCTGGTCAGGTCCAGGTGTCCCATCCCGGTGCCTTCACGTTCAGGGAGAGCTCAGCTCTCACCTCAACCCTCCCTGGGGCTCACTTCCCAGTATAGACCATCACTGAAGGCTGGTCCCAGTGCCTCTGGCTCCACCCTGGAGCAGAGCAGCTCCTGGGCTGTGGTTCAGTCAGCACAGGGTGCTGTGACCAGCTGAAGAGCTCCTGCAGCCCCGGACTGTGAGGGAGAAGAAGGGTTTGGGAGCCCATGGACCTGTCAGCTCAAACCTCAGCCAACGTCCAACAGCTCCGTGTGGCCAGCAGTTTAGGACAGAATCAGGGAATCACAGAACTGCTGAGGTTGGAAAAGACCTTTCAGAGCATTGAATCCAACCATGTCCCCAGCACTGCCAGGTCCCTACTGCCCTGTGTCCCTCACACCACATCTCCATGGCCTGGAAACCCCTCCAGGGGTGGGGACTCCACCACTGCCCTGGGCAGCCTGGCACAGCCCTGGGCAACCCTCCAGGGCAAGAAATTGTTCCTCGGGCCCAGCCTAAATCTCCCCTGGCAGAACTTGAGGCCCTTTCCTCTTGTCCTGTCCCTTGTTCCCTGGGAGCAGAGCCCGATCCCCCCCTAGCTCCAGCCTCCTGTCAGGAGCTGTGCAGAGCCAGGTCTCCCCTGAGCCTCCTTTGCTCCAGGCTCAGCACCCCCACCTCCCTCAGCTGCTCCTCCCCACACTTGGCCTCTAGACCCTTCCCCAGCAGCTTCGTTGCCCTTCTCTGGCCACACTCCAGCCCCTCAAGGTCCTTCTGGCAGGGAGAGGCCCAGAACTGACCCCAGGATTTGTGGGGTGGCCTCATCAGTGATAAAACTAGTTACAGCCCAAGAAGCGACAGGAAGACAGCCCCAACTTTCTCCAGGGGATTTACTGACTCCTGATGGAGCCTGGAACTCAAAGGCCTTTAGGGATCTAAGCCTGTGTAACTCATGAGCCCATCTCCCTGAACTCGAGCCACAGATCTCAACCAGGATCAGAAAAGCCTTGACCAGACTGAGTATGTCACTGCCTGTGGAAACTCACAACAGCAAGAGGCAGGAAACACTGCAAACCTCCCATGGCTACTTGCCTACAGCTGAGCTGCTGCACAACCAAAATGAACCCACTAAAAGCTGCTCTAGTTTTAGTAGCAACACCTCCAGGAAACAATCTCCTCCTCCTTTGTCCAGACACTGCAATCTCAGGGATGGAAATTTCCCCTGTTTTTTGTTTTTAAGGTTTTTCTCTCCTACCACTGAGTGTTTTACTGAGTAAAACACTCAGTGGTGTCCAACACACCCTGAGAATTTGGCTCTTCTAAACCTCTCAACTGATGGATTGATGATATACCAAAGAAGTGGCTCCTTCACATTGAGGCTGTTTTCTCTGTACCAAAGCAGTCTGGGGGGAGCGTGAAGCTACAAGACAACTTTTAATGACTTTAATGCCAGATTTGGAGGTTCTGCTCGTGGTTTGGGTGGCTGGAGGAGCCCCGTGGAGCTCAGGGGGAGGGCCAGCAGTCATCAGGAAGGGCCCTGTGGCTTTACCTGGGTGGTCTGTGCATATCCTTGCGCTGGCTGAGGTGCGTACGCGCTGTAGCTGCAGAAGGAATTGAAAGACATTTATTATCCATCCCCACGCGGCAAAATTTGGGCCAAACATCCTCACGAGACAATGTGCACACACCCAAAGGACTGCTGCTGAGATACTGGGGGGACACGAAAGCTACAAGCTAAAGGAAAACCAAAGGATTTACAAATGTACCTGAATTAAGCTAAACCACAATTATGGCATAGTGTTATGATGTCTTTTTAAACCAGAGAGGGGAAGACCATAATGCTACTCACCCCTGCTGAGCTGCAGCTTGGCTGTAGGTACTATAATCTACAAGAAAAGAGACAAAAAGAAACGTTGACAAAGGCTTAACAAAATGAACAGTGTAAGAGCACAGCAGCTGGAATTTCCTCCTACAGCCCGAGAGAACAAAACCACTGGAAATCCAGGTTTCAAAGAGTGGAAGGTAAATGAACTTTATCCAGGTTTTATGAAAACCCACTCTTCCCTTTATTGTTCCTGCTGCTCCTGCAGCAGCTTTGATCTCAAATGACCCTGCTTTACTTTAACTGTCACCTTGGATGACACCCAAGGGGGGCTGACAGGAGGGGGGTGGTGTGGAATGAAAAAAACCTTGAGGTTGACTCTTGCAACCCCCCCAGCCTGGTTCCAAAGAGCCAAGGCTGCAGGTTTTTGGCTCTGTAGAAACCACCACACTTTTCCTCTTTCTATTTAACTTTCAAGGACACAAACAACTGGCTGGGAAGTTCCAGCACTTGTACCCTGGCAGCTGGTTATAATTCCCCCCCTCCCCCAAATCCTCCATCCACATCCTGATGCAGAAGAGAACTGAGATCCTGGAATTCCAAGCAGAAAAATCTATGCTGGTTTGCTGCTGGGAGTGGAAAATGTGTCCTCATGGAAATTCCAAGTGTATTTGAGGTGGTGACAGCTCCTAAACGTGCACTTGTCCTCAGAGGCACCACGGAACTCAGTCCCCATCCCACACCCAGAGCAAAGGATGAGCCCACTGCTCGGAGCAGGCCCTGCCAGCCAGACTCCAGCTCTCCCAGCCCACACCAGCGCCCAGCACGGGGCTCAGGAAGGAGCCCAGACCCTGCTGGGTTCTGCTGCATCGGCCCAAGCTGGAGACAGGAGCCAGGGAGACCTGGATGGGATGAGGTTTGGGTGCTTCTAGCCCCATCCCACCTTGGGGAACACTGATCTTGGTCAGAAACCTGAGGATGATCAATTTGAGGAGTCCAGCTGATGGTTTCTGCAGCCTTCAGTCAGCCCCAGGCTGTAAGGACACCTTCATCTGCAACTGAAGGCCATGGGGCACCAGGAATAAATCTGAAAATACTCTTTTCACACACCAGAACCTCCTGTTTCTTGATGGATTCACCCCTAATAAAGCTTCCCCCTCCTCCTCGAAACCCCTCCCCGTGAGCTGATGGCTTTTCCTCCCAGCAAAGAGGTGCTGAGACCCCAGTAGTGATTTTTGCCAGACTCTCATCACTCCATCCTTGCAGCAGAGTGCAGGAATCAGTACAGGCACGCAGGGAAGACACCCGGAATCCCACGTGCACTGAGGAGACAAGGAACTGCTACAGAAAAGCTTCTGTGCTCCCGTGCCACTGGGTTGTTCAAATGCCCTGGCACCTCTCCAGCTCCCCTTGCAGTCTGGCAGGGTTGATAGGGAGAAATCTCACTTCTTAAATTCAGGGCTGCTGCTCTCTTTTTAAATTATTATTCCAGTCTACACCCGGCTCTGAGCTCTGCTAAATCCTGAGGGTTAAAAATCACTAAGGCCCATTCTGCCTCATCCATCCTCTCTCTCCCACCACATCCTTCCTATTTCCCAACTCTTGTTGGCTCTCCAACCATTGAAACCTCCCTCCTCCTCGTTTAATTCTCATTTTCTGCACGCTGTCATGTTACCACAGTCCTCCAGGCTGTTAAAAACCAGCCAGGCTGCTGAGCACAGACCTCCCAAACCTTCCTCCCTTGCTGGTAGATCCCCAGAAACCTGCTAGTGCCTTGAGCTGTGTAGAAGGTCTTCACAAAACCTCCACCCCTCCATCCAGCCTTCCCCAGACACTCCATTTTCCCCTTTCCAGGATTTAAATCCGAGTGTTGAACTTGCAGTAGTCTCCCCTAACCCCTCTTTCTAATTTGCCCAAATTTAGATGAACACAAAAACGTTAAAACACAATATTATGGTTCATTTAAACCATCCCTGAGCCTTTATTTCCAGTGGGAAATTAATCTTTTTCCTTCTCTTTCATGAGGCTCAAGAGCATAGCTGAAAATAGCAGCTCCCATGGAAGAATATTTCCATGGATTAAATAGAAAGACAGCTGGATTTTTCAGCCCCATTTTGACAATTCCACTGGCACATGTTTCTTTAGCCACTCTTTTGTTTGTTTTAAACCTCTCCAAGGTGATATTAGTCATATTCCTTCACACTCTGTGGCTTGGGGCAGTTTTCTCATCCAAACTTTGGCTGTTGGGCTTTAATTCTACTTTAAGGTTGATGCTGCTATGGTTTTATGTCTCGATTTTGACCAATTCACATCGAGTTGGAGCCCTCCTGTAAAAGCATGTTTGTTGTCTTTTTTTTCCCCATGCTGCTTCACCGGTTTTATTCAAACAAACAACATTTACAGCAGAAACGATGCTGAAAAAGCCCCAGAAAGACGAGGGCCCTGGAGGGAGCTGACAGTAGGAGCAGCGGGTTCTGGAAAGAGCAAAACTCAGATCTACTGACGCTGGGGCACCAAGGGGCCATTAACGTAAACAACGTTTCCACAAACATCGAGGAGAGGTGATCGGGGCACTGCAGCCTCGGGGAGGCACCGAGGGGAGCTGGGGAGAGCCGAGGAGGCAC